AACCACTGCTGTAACTGATCCATTTGGGAGAAGGAGGGGTAGGAGTTTGAGGGGTATTATAATAGACTGGGGCCTTGTACTACTCACTGTACAACATAGAGTGAGAGTTGGCCCTGGCCTGGAAGAGTGTACAATTTAAACTCAGACAGAAAAGATGTTATCCCCATTGTACAGAAAAGGAACAGAGGCATGATGAGATTAAGTGATCTGGCTAAGGTCATGTTGGGAATCTGTGCCAGAAAGGAGACATGATCTCAGATCTCCTGAGTCTCAGTCCAGCACCTCCACCACAAGCTCATCCTTCCTCTCAAGTACATGACAAGCATTAATGAGGCTCCATGACACCCCTGTGAGGGAGGCAGTTAAGGACATCGCTGAGAAGTTGTGCTGTGTGTGCCTTACTATGTAAAGAGAAGGAAAAAAAAGCCTGACTCTCACTCAATCCTCCCCCTCTGCCTCTGAATATGCACCTGGCCCAACTCTTAACTGCCTTAGTCCTTCCACTGTGATCTTGGACATGACTCCATCCTACCTTCTCACTTCCCAGATGCCTCAGAGTTCCTTCTGCTCCTCATACCTCCCTCCTGCCAAAATCCAGTCTCTATTGTTTCTATACTAACCTCAGCAGTCCCATTTTTCCTTAGGAATTTGCATCCCAACCTGACTTGCAAATAATTCAGGCATGAAAGAGTTAAAAACACTATGCTGTAAAAGCAAAACAGCTCCATACTGTGAGGTACCTTGTATTTAGATACACTTCCTTAAGTTTTCAAAACTACCTAAAGGGAATTAGCCATGCTCCTCCCACCACATTTCATGAATCACTCAACTTAAATCCCCATGCATTGCTTTGTAACTGTCTCCTCAAGTTAATTATGTCTTGCACAATCCATTATGTTTCTTGATTTTCTTACTTCAGTAATGGAAAAGAGGAGTCTTTAGGTTCAGACAAATTCCACATGCCAAGACAAACAAAATACATTTATTAATGTGCAAATTAAAGTGATTTATGCTGAAATTGCCTGTATGTTTTCCACCAGAACTGAAAAAAAAAAAAAAAAAAACATGCATTTGATCTGCATCACTCAGAAATTGAACAGAACAGAGTGCATCCTAGAAATAAACTTAGGAGCAAAGCAGTTAAAGCCAAAACCATAGTTCGCTAGTTACGTGTTGAACACTAGCCACACAGGAAAGAAGCAAAAGTATTTAGCCAAGTTTCCATAGCGTAGTGGTTATCATGTTTGCCTAACACGCGAAAGGTCCCCAGTTCGAAATCGGGCAGAAACAGTTTGGGGGAAGGGATAGCTCAGTGGTTTGAGCTTTGGCCTGCTAAACCCAGTGTTGTGAGTTCAATCTTTGAGGGGGCCATTTAGGGATAAGGGGCAAAAATGGGGGATTGGTCCTGCTTTGAGCAGGGGGTCGGACTAGATGACCTCCTGAGGTCCCTTCCAACCCTGATATTCCATGATTCTATGAAAATGGAGTACCAAAGCAGGGAAATGATACTTCGCTTGGGGAAAGGTTTCTTTCTGTGTGGCTCTGGCTAATTCTTTTCCTGTATATTTGTATGACGACAAATTCTGTCTTCTCACCCAACTTTTCAAAGCCTGCTCCTTTTTCCTTTCTAAACTTTCAGGTGTGGGCCTGTAGGCAGATTTTCCGTGAGAGATTGTTGGATGGAAAGTTTTGCAGGCATGTGGGGTCTGCTGGAATGAATTTTACTTACAGAAATTCTAAAGATTCTTGTGAGATTGGCAAAGTTTTGCCATAGGCAAGATCAGGAACAGTAGGAATGTTTTACAGTCAGCCCCACTAACATCCTAATTTTGTCTAGTGAAGACAACTGGGAGATATGTTGAAAATTCATAAGAAGGCCCTAAGAAAATATATAAAGAGCTTACTCTTATGATGTATACTTTCTAATTGTAAAACCAACTGTACGTGTCTATCTTGCTGCATTCATCTATATTAGCTGGTCATTGCTGTAGAATATTTTTCAGATTGACTGTCTCTTTGTCAACTTCTTTTGCTGACGTATATCAGTATAACCAAGAACAGAACTTGACCTACAGTTCTTACAAGAGCTGTCCTTGTGCGGAGTCTGAGATGCTTCTGGAAGTGGGAGCAAACATGTTCTATTTAGAGTGAAAAAAGATCAACATCTGCAGAGCGGCCACAGAAATACCAATTCCCAGCCTTCTCTAGATGTGAACCAATCACAAAGGAACCTGTTTAACTTTCCTGTGACCTTGTAACCGTAACCAGTCCCAGAATTACTTGGTCTATGGTCGTGGCCATCTCTAGCTCTGCTAAACTTGTTCCACAGCCATCACAGGTTCTGAGACACTTTGAAAACGAGTGATTCAAGTCAAGGATTGAAGATGAAGTGCCCTACTGTCTAGATCTTTATCCTGGTACAACCACTCCCATGCCTCCAGGTTCCCTTCTGCCCCATCTTGACTTACCCACATCACCCTCAACCTTCCTAAAGAAAGCTTGGTTTAAAGGAGACTGGCAGTATCTTTGCCCTCAATACAGTGTTGTCCTCATTACACTTTTCTAGGAAGTACAGGCACATTGACTTCTTGGGCACAAACCCAAAGGCTCAGTGTGAGCCTTCCACTGCCTAATATATAGTGGTAGCAGCATGAGCTTTTAAATTTTAACATGACGTGTTTTCTAGTTTACGCTGCCATTTAAAAAACATTAGCGATGAAACTTAATTACTTCCATTCATTATATAGCATTTGCATGGGAGTTCCAACCTCTGCTTTCATGTCAACAATAATCCAGCTCAGCCTGGCTTGCCCTGCCTTATCTCTAGGCTAATGCCAAAAACAGTAGGCTTCATAATAATAGTGGAATATATTTCTCGACCCATCAGAGATAATTTCTGCTTTTAGTTCTGGAATTTAATTGGCTTATGGAAATGCATCTCTGCTTGGAAATGGTACAGAATTTTAAACCACAGAAATCCACTAGGATTTTTTCTCCCTTTGACCCACAGTATGCTGTGAACAGTCTGGGACACTGCAGTTTAAAACCCACTCCCAGAATGCTACTGAGAAATGGAAAAGATCAGTAGGGCCATATTGTTGGTGTTAAATTGGCCACATATACAAATTCATGAGACAACAAAGGGGTTAAATGATATAAAACCTCAAGGGAATCATTTTTACTAGTGTCTGTCCCCTCCAACAGAGATAGGACCCAGAGCTTTGTTTCCCCGAAGTTCAGGGGATGTTTGGTTATGACATTTTGGTCATATAATGGTCTGGTCTCATTGCTACCTTGTATAGGCCAGATTTTGTTTTCAAAAGTAGATTGAGTGCAGATTCCTGAGTCTCAAGGCCTCTCCTTATAAGGAGAAATCACTTCTGAAATAGAAAATGAAATAAAAACAACCTTAGCACTATTATAAATATTTCATGATCAAGACCAGTTTTAAAAAATTATGCTTTTAAGAAAACTTCTCATCACACAGTGCTAGAGCAGAACAAAGAATCATCTTATACGGTAATTGAATAGTTTCCATGATAGATAGTCACAGTGGAATCTAATTTTTATGTAGAGAGTTTTTATTTTGTTTTATGAGGCTTACTTTGCATATCTCTAGCTGCACCATCCTCATGGCAAAAGGCTAAAGAAAGCTTGTTTTCCAGTCTTTAAAAATGCTGACACCTGGCAGCAAAGGACATACCAACATTCTAAGCAGACTTGTTTCAAAAGCAATGTTTTATATAGTAACCTCATAGTCAGAGGTGCAGAGAGCACAGGGCCTTCAGGTTTCCATCACTGTAATTGGGAAAGGGTGTTGCAGCACTACCTGATCCTTAACGAATAAAGAACTAACTTCTGCTTAGCTTCTCCCTCTTACACAAATGCTCAGATGGCTTGAAGAGTGGCAGCTTGTAATCCTGTTTTTGGGAAGAGCACATATTGCACCCAGGGCCATGGGCTGAGTGGAAGCCCAAAGTTGGAGTCTATGTTTGTCTTCTGCTATGTTAACTTATTTTATTTTCTGATCACAAATACTATCCATCTGGGGAGATGGGGGACTTCACTGACAACAGCTATGTCTTTTCTTTTAGTCTCTCTACCTGCTTACAAGCAATAACTGCTTGAGAGGATAACTTTTTTCTTCCCTTTGATAAATAAAAATCTTTCAAACAACATCTGTGTTTCAGTGGTTAATAACATATTAATAGTTCCCTGACCTAACTCTTTCTGGTATTACAAAGTGGCTCAGTTACTTGGAATTGTCCAAGCAGTGCATGAAAGCAGTTTGTTACCGGGAAGTCTGGCAGGAGGAGGAACTTTGAAAACATGGTGCTGCCTATCCTGCTGTCTCCACTGCGTCCACCCAAGGATGTTAAAACAGTATATCCACCAATGCCTATGGGTGCCTCAAATGCCACATTGTGGGGCTGGCAGAATTGAGAAATGCCAAACATCAGGGTGGAATTAATCCTTGCGGAGAACCAGTGTTTATTTTTTTTTTTACAGTGTACATTTCAAAGATGAAACCTGATAATTTCATGGGCCTGAAAAATAAGTAATAAGGAAGTCTCTAATCTGCCTGTTTGCTCAGAGTCGAGTAGTTGTGAATGGAGGAGGAGAAACCTTTACATTTAAAATAAATGTTTAATAATGTGTTAGTGGTGAGGAAACAAATGCCGGAGGATGGGAACCACTTGTCTCAAACTGTGATTTGCTTATCCATGCTATACCTCTTCTGAGTAACATCTTTCTGATCCGAGATCTGATCCAGTGACAACACTGTGCAGTAAAACTGCAGCTCCTCTCATGTGCCAGTATAATGAAGTACTCTTTAATTATTCAGGGGATAAATTCTGATCTCAAACTAATGGATTTTACACTATATGCTGTAATAGTTGCCCACATAGCTGAGACTGAAATTAGGCCTTTGGGTGAGTGGAGTGAGAATTCCCTCGCCTTAACAAGTTTAGCTAATTGTGTGCACTGTTTTCCCCCAGATTGCTATGTACATAGGCCAAGTCACTAAGGACATCCTGAAATGGCCTCGTCCTCATTCACCTCCTGTTGTGAAGCTGGAAATGAGAGCAGAATATGGAATGCCATCCACCCATGCCATGGCAGCTACATCCATTTCCTTCACATTTTGTATTGCAACAATAAACCAAAACAAGGTAGGGAGGAACAAGCATGTGTCTGATCCCATTGAACTGCAGCAACCATGAAAAGGTCCAATGCTTTTACCCACCAATACTTCCATCATCACTCACTCCTACCTTCCATTGTTGTAGTGGGTTAATACTAGATATGACAAGAACTGTTGTAGAAAATTTCCCAACTCATCTGGGATGGCACTAGTTCAGTGTCATTGTTGGATTTTGTTAACTGTGTTAAGCTTCAGGGAAATGTTCTGTGTTTTCACTAGGTACTGACCACTGCATCACACAGAAGGAACTCTTCACAACAGTCCTGGTATGAAGTATGCCTTGTATTGTACAGTTACAGTGAAATAGTTACACTGGATCAGTTGCAGAGTAGTGTTTTAAGAGAGCTCAACATTGCACATGAGGAACTGCAGAGTCCCATGGACAGCAGAGGGGCTCTCTACTGCCATTGACAATGATAATGGCGGATGCAGAAGAAATATGTTTGTGAAATTCCTCTAAAAATTTAATCTCTTTAATAGTCCTGTTGCACTTAACAAATTAATAGATATTAAAATATTTGATAATGTACTATTGGAAAATATTACCAAGACCTGATGGGCAAGTCACACTGTCCGGTTCACTGCACACTCACTATTATTGTGGGCTACTCGGAGAATCCTCATCAAAAAGACTCATTGGGAAATTCAGGTTTGAAGAGTCAGGCTGTGTGTGGATTTTCCTCTCCTTGTTACCATGTATTGACAAGAACTAGAGAAACTCACTTGAATAGTGCCTAGTGAGGGTGTACAATCAATGTGAGCGTGAGGCACAACATGTCTTTCTTCTTGCTCTATTGAGGACATAATCTTAGTATAGTGACCCAATTGGCAAAGCTGCAGAACACCTGCAGATTCCATCAATTTCCAGGGGGTGTGCGAGCTCAGCACCTTAGAAAAGCAGGCCATGTGCTACTGTTCTTTAAAAATGAAGAAACTGTCGCAAATTTAGGACCACTTAGAACTTCACATTTGCCACAATAGTATATAACATGGCTATAAGGAGTGCATAATGACAGCATGCCTAGAGCTCTGGTCTTACTCCTGCTAAACCAGGGTTGGGCAATAATTTTCACAGGGGGGGCACTCTATGAATTGTGGTAAGTCGTCGCGGGCTGTACATTTCTACTATATTAATGGAGAGGGTGCGGAGTCTGGGTGCAGGAGGGAGCTCCGGGCTGCTACAGAGTGTTGGGGTGCAGGAGAGGGTGGAGGGTGAGGGGTGTGGGCTTTGGGAGGGAGTTTGGTGCAGAAAGGGGCACCAAGCTGGGGCAGGGGATTGGGGTGCAGGGTCTGGGAGGGAGTTCGGGTGCAGGAGGGGGTTCTGACCTGGGGCAGGGGAGGGGGGGGTAGGAGGGGGTGCAAGGTGCAGGCTCTAACCAGGTGGCACTTACCACACGCGGCTCCTGGCTGGTGGCACAGCAGGGCTCAGGCTGGCTGCCTGCATGCTATGGCCCCATGCCACTCCCAGAAGCGGCTGCGGCCGGCTGCTGCTGGAATGTCTCTGTGCACCCCTTGGAGGGGAGGGGCAGCGGGTCTCCGTGCACTGCCCATGCCCGCAAGCACCACCCCCCGCAGCTCCCATTGGCCGGTTTCTAGGCAATGGGAGCTGTGAGGACAGTGCTGGGGGCGGGGGCAGCGTGTAGACTTGCCTCCCACCCCGTCAGGGGCACGCAGAGATGTGCCAGCAGCAGCTGGCCACTTCCAGGAGCGGCGTGGGGCCGTGGCAGGCAGGCAGCCTGCCTGAGCGCCCTGCTGTGGGACTTTTAGTGGCCCGGACTCGGAGATCGCGAGGAGGCAGAAGAGGCTGAACAGAAATGTTAGACGGGCTGGATCCAGCCCAGGGGCCGTATTTTGCCCACCCTTGTGCTAAGCCCTACTTTTGGAACTAAAGGAAAACTTCTTTATCTGTTAGCAGTACCGGGCCAAGGCACCCAGTTAGGTAGTTCTGACCCTGCCCAGCAGAGGACAGCAGTACACATCCATACTACCTTATTCATTACAGTACTTTATTTTCACCCCATATATAAATTTGTGCACTAATATTGCAACCTACATTTTTCTGAAGAGCCGTATTGTACTTGCTGTAAAATACAGACCACCATAAAGCAACTTTTTAAATGGTTTCTATTAGAAAATATCTGCTGGTACATTCCTTTGATGTCATCTAGAGCTGCAATTGATCATTAATAATCCTTCATCAATAATAGATTATTTATCTGTACCAGCCCCTAAACTATGTGAGGAGGAGAGAATAAATTGGGAATACTCTATGTAGGAGATAAATCCGAGGCTCAGGAAAGTGAAGGGAAAACAGCATTAAAGGGAGTCATATCAGTGTGTGCAGATCAAGCTTTCCAGAGGAGGGTCTTGGATACTACATTTACTATGAGGCCACATAAATAGATTGTCAAACGTACAGCTCTGCAAAAGCATTTCTGACCTGACCTACAATCACCCCATACCATCCATCCAGTCATGGCACTCTCCTGAGTCAATTGTGCCAATCGAGTGATGATTTTTGTTATACAGACAAATGTCCCCTTGGAGCTAAGATGAGGCCATCGGACTCATTTTCATGGATGACCTAAGCCAGGATTTGAATGAAGGCGTGAAAGGCTAATACATTAACCTAGTTCTCTACCAAGCATTTCTCCCCTCTCTGTAATCTGAAAATACTTTACCAAATAATTTAAAATAGTTGATTCCATGTTGGTAAGGCCATTCTGAGAAAGAATAAAATGCATAAACCTTATATAAACCCTAAATGACAAAAGAAAGTTTGGTATTACGGTTAGACTGCTATAATAACTGGATTACAGTTTTAGGCTAGCCATCCCCCCCCCCCCCCCATTAAGAAAAAAAAAAAAAAACTACAGGTGCCTTATCATTCATGCCATCATTAGGCCTAATTTCCAGTGGGGGAAAATGGACTCTTAAGACCTTCCACAGGCTACAGGTAATAAAGTAGCTTTCAGCATAATACAGTGCTGCCAACATTCAGCCTGAGAGTACCTGAATGCATAACTCTGACACACATTAGCTCTCTGGAACGTTAGAACTCGAGAGCTGATTCTAGATTACCATGTGGGTGATGGCCATTGGATAATTTATTTGAGGTACTGACAGACAGTATATGTACTTAATCTGAATGCTGGTAACATTTCTCTTTCTTTCTACAGTACCCACTTGTGCTAGGACTAATGGCAGCATTTGTATTTTCTACTCTGGTGTGTCTCAGCAGACTTTACACTGGAATGCACACTGTACTGGTAAGGGTAAAGATATACTGTCCTTCTGTCTGTGTCATTTTACTGGCAGCCGTCCCCTTAGTATCTAAGCACATCTTATGAGTAAAAAAAAGCCAATTTCTGGCTTCCTTCCCTACCAACCAGAGGGAAAGTTGGAATGTTTTATGTAAAAATATATTTTAAACGGTATGTTTTACATACACACAGATCTAGGTGTGTGAAATAGTATTGCAGTGACAGTGCATCCGATGAAGTGAGCTGTAGCTCAGGAAAGCTCATGCTCAAATAAATTGGTTAGTCTCTAAGGTGCCACAAGTCCTCCTTTTCTTTTAGCGCATAAATGGTACTTCTAGGAACAGTAGGACAAAAAGGTGGATTGGCATTTCTCTCTGAATGTGGAAAGGTAAGTGGTATTTTAACTGCTAGCGATTTCCATATTGTTGGTCCTGCTCCCATGAAGCTCTGTCTCCCATGGCCATAAGCTACTTTCTGTTGATTAACAGTTTGACTAAGTAGAAGGTGGCTGTAGACTAGGCCACTAGCTAGTACTTCTGGAGGAGCGCCAGCACTAGTCACTGTGGTTATCCCATGCACAAAGCATTGTGAACTTCAACTTAAAAACTTTCCTAAATGCATTTCTCAAACACAATCATTAAAAATCCAGGAAATTGTTAGTTAAGCAATATTTCCACCCAAAGCAACCTCACTGTGCATACCTGCCCCCAAAACACACTCTCCAGCACCACAAGACACGCCCTTTGAATTCCAATACCTAACCAACCGTAATACACACATCCAGTTTCTCATAACCACACACAAATGCACAACCTGAATTCTGACCACATGCTTTTTCATGTACAAATGACTCATTATACATTTTCCTCTAGGGAGATATCTGAATGTAGCTGAATTTGGGGTTAAACTTGTGTATTTGAGTGCATTTGAGAAACTGGATGTTTGCACGTTGGCTGATAAATATGTAACTGAAAAAGAATGTGTCATGCAGCTGAGGAGCCTGGTGGAATGTTGGGTATTACAGTGTTTGGGCAAAAAGGCAGGTGAGAGGAGGTTGGTGTGAATGTGAATCTCCATTTAATTGTTGATGTCCTGGCCATTCAGTGATTGCATTGATAGGAAATGTACTTAAGCAAGGTAACAGTATTGTGTGTGTGATAGTTTCACGATTGCATTCCAGAACTACTAAGTAGGGATTGATTTAGTCAGGAGGTAAATGTAATGTGCTGAAGTGCCAAATCAGTGAGGCATGCTGGACACTTACTTCTGTTCCTTCAGTGCAGGCAGAACTCAGTTAAATCTCTTTGGGTATGTGGAGCTAAGTTAGGTTATGACATATGGGAAATAGCACTTTTCTGTTAAGTACACATCTCAATGTAAACCTTAATTAGGGAGTCATTAGTGGCCTCCATAATAACAGGAAGCTTTATGGTAATTGGTATGTAGTTAGCAGAGATGTGCAGCACTTTTCTAAATACGAAATTCAGTGAATGAAAAACATTTTCAACTTGCATAATACATCATTCATAGTATATGAAGAAATATTGTATTAGTTGTAATGAAGTATATTCTGAATTATGAATAAAGTAATTGTATTAGTTGTAATGAAGACATAAATTTGATGCATTGTAAATAAATAAATAAATAAAATTCCTAATAAAATGGTGGTTGTCCATGAGATATGGCCTGACCTTTCCTTCCAACCTTACTGGATCAAAACAATGTCTTAAAAAAAGAGAGGATGTCTCCAGTCTAGATTTAACTGATGACCCTAAGTCAATCAGTAAAAATTCTTAGCATATTTCCGTTGGTGTTCCATGATAATGAAAGAGACTTTTCTAAATTGGGGTAAAAAAGAAAAAGCCCTTTGTGCCTATCTCAGATTGCCTCTAAACCCCAACTCCTTAGTTTAACAGCGAGAAACATATTTCCGTAGAGTCTTCGTCTTAAAAAGAAAAGGAGTACTTGTGGCACCTTAGAGACTAACCAATTTATTTGAGCATGAGCTTTCGTGAGCAATTTATTTGAGCATGAGCTTTCGTGAGCTGTAGCTCACGAAAGCTCATGCTCAAATAAATTGGTTAGTCTCTAAGGTGCCACAAGTACTCCTTTTCTTTTTGCGAATACAGACTAACACGGCTGTTACTCTGAAACCGTCTTAAAAATGGCATGGTAGCGAGTGGAGTTGAGGAAATAATTCACATAGAATAATTATTTCATAAATATAACCTCTTTCTGTTCACAAACTGGCCACGTGCAATTTAAGATTCTTCTGGGATAATGAGTAAAATACTGAGAACAATTTGCCAAATTTCTATGAATAACTTTGTCTGAAAACTGCCCCTCAAGTGGTTCAGTGCAATTATTCAGTATTCGACATCCAAGTTTGGACACAGGTCTCATTTTATGTTCATCAGGAAGCAGAAACAATAATTCTTAGAATCGGGTTTCTGGTACAAATGATCACATTTGAGCTCAGTTTACTCCCCTCAAAGGTTTTGTCCACCTAAATTTCCCACTGGACTATTGATGGAAAACTAACACTGAAGGTGCATGAACACATCTGTAGGGAAATGAATATTTTCTTCAAGCAAATATTCACACAAAACATGCTGATTCACTGAGGTTTACTGAATTTCCTCAAATTTAGCAAGTGAATGAACACATGTAATTTACAAAAATTAGCAAGAATATTGCAACACAGCATTTCATAGAATCATAGAATATCAGGGTTGGAAGGGACCTCAAGACGTCACCTAGTCCAACCCCCTGCTCAAAGCAGGACCAATCCCCAATTTTTGCCCCAGATCCATAAATGGCCCCCTCAAGGATTGAACTCACAACCCTGGGTTTAGCAGGCCAATGCTCAAACCACTGAGATTTACTTGGTTTCTTTGAGTTTTAATAATAGCACACAATGTAATAAATGCATTGTACTATAGGCTGTAAAAGTAAGGAAATCTAAGGTCTGATGTATACTTGCAGTTTTACTGGTAGAACTATTTTGGTTAGGAGCATGGTGGTTTGTGTGTGTGTTTATTTTATTGAAATAGTTATACCTGTAAAAGGACTAATGTGGATTCCATTATGGTGACTTACGCCATTATAGTTATTCCCCATACTGTATGGGAATAGCTATACTGGTGTAAAAGCATCTTTTTACTAATAACTGAATTTACACTCTAGGGGGTTGTACTGCTTTAACTAGTATAGTTAACTAGAGTAGCTTGTTAGTGTAGAGAAGCCCTCACTAATATGCATAGGTGCTGGAATTAGGGGTGCTGGAGGTGCTGCTGCACCTCCTGGCTTGAAGTGGTTTCCATCATATACAGGGTTTAAGTTTGGTTCAATGGCCCTCAGCACCCTCACTATACAAATTGTTCCAGCACCCCTACTATTATGAGAACCTTCTACAACATCTGCTAATAATGAACCTTGGTTGAGAAGTGGGGAGATGCCACTCTTTTGGGGGATTGCAAATTATAGGGTGTGAAGAACTAGCAAAGTAGGAATTAGTGATGTTCTGTATGTAAATCAGAGAAACTGTCACTCAAAGGCACAACCAAACTCTTGATTAACTTTTCTGCAGAGATTCCGTAATTAGGAGGAAGTTTTAAAAGGCATAAAGGGCAATTAGGTGCTCCAATCAAGAGTCAATGGGAGTCTGGGGCCTACCTCCAATGGTATCTATGAAAATCTCCCCCAGATTCTGTGCCTGAAAACTGAGCCAACTCCTGATATCCTTGATCACTTACTTCATTTGCAGGAGTGAGGCAAACAGGACTTGGTGCACTGTCTAAAGATCAGTAGAATGGGTGTGGGGGAGGGGACAAAATTCATCTACATCTACTAGGATTTGAAAACTATGCATGCTGACTTTCATTTGTGGGACAGTATAACACAGAGGCATAAGGAATCACATCACAGACAACACTAAACATACACAGTGGGAAGACTTTCATCCTTTTAACCCTTCAGTGCCAGCATTGGGAATTTTCTAATGCATCAAACTAACCCATTTTGCATTAGTGATCACAGCAGAGCTCAGTTTCCCCTTGACCGTAATGCATACATTCCTGTCTCCAAGAATCATAGAATATCAGGGTTGGAAGGGACCGCAGGAGGTTATCTAGTCCAACCCCCTGCTCAAAGCAGGACCAATCCCCAATTTTTGCCCCAGATCCCAAATGGCCCCCTCAAGGATTGAACTCACAACCCTGGGTTTAGCAGGCTAATGCTCAAACCACTGAGCTATCCCTCCCCCCCAAAACACGCAGCTAGGGAAGCTTTTTACAGTCATTAATTGCTTAAAGCTCACACACCCTTTGTGAGTGTCCATTGATTTTTGAGGCCAGAGGGACCCTCTTGCCTGTTTGGATTCATTGGACTTCCTCAAAACAGGCCAGAGAATTCCATACCCATAAAACACCTGCTCTAGGTGAGGCTCAAACTCACAACCTCAGCATTGCTCAGTCAAGTACTGTTTTATAAGTACTGTACACTAACCAGTTGCACCACTGGAGCTACATGAGATGGTAGAAGCAGACAGTCACTTGAGAGCCACATTTAATCTTGCAACAGGTTATCAGTACTGCAGTTCACAATGTATACAGTCATGATTTAAAAAGCAATATCATCTTATACTATTCTAAATATTGGCCAGTATATAAGGAAAAGTCTAAAGGTAATTTGTTATTTAATTCTGAAAAAGTTTCCTCTGAAAACAAAGTAAATAATTTGTGTAAGAAATATAGATCTAAGATTGATGCATTTATTGCTGATTATACAATTACAAAGACATAGAAAAGAAGCAGATTATGTTCTGTAATACACATCCCACAATATGCACCTATATTCTCTGTTACATCTTGGTTTTTTTCCCCCCGATAGCACCATTAGTCCTGAAGGGATTTTCAGTGGTTTACAAACTGACATACAAACTATGGGTCATTTCACCCACCGTGGAAAGGCAGTCCAATATTTGTATGTAGCAAATATTATTCAAC